TAAGATCAGCGTGTGCTAATATTATCACGATGTTTGGAAGTTTGCTCCTCAAGGAGGGTGGCTGAGAGGGGCAGTGATACGGTGGCCAGGCTTGAGGTGGAGTAGAAGTCAGGTTTTCTCACGAGCTAGAACATAGGTGCTAGAGTGTAACAGGAGCAAAACAATGGGAATTTCCTATGTCTCAGGCAGATAGCAGACACAGGATAGCAGAGAGGAGGGTGTAGGTAGTGGAGGGTGAGTGGGTGAGTGTACGCACGTTTAGTACGCATTGTATGAGAGGGCCAGGAGTGGTGCGACACGCCCACAAAGCATATGGGCACCAAACCTAATGCGGATGGATCTTGGTGCGTCTACAATACCAGTCTTCAACTAAAACGGCTGGGCGTCTGTGGGGAAATGGCTGAGCGGCCGCGCGGGGACGGGGTGAAGCAGGGCAGAAGTACAAAACCAGGCGGCAGTGTGCTTATTGTAAGAAGCAAAGAAGTGCTCCATAAAATAAAAGGACATAATAAGAAGGAGGACATGAGGCGTGGGCGCGCGGTGCTCAAGGCCTGTGAATCCCAGCACTTTGGGAGCAAGACGGTGATCACGAGGTAGAGATCGAAGACATCCGTGGGCTAACATAGTGGAAACCCGTCTCTTACTAAAAAATAGCAAAGAGAAACTAGTCGGGCGAGTGGCGCGCGGGGCACTGTAGTCCCAGCTACATCAGGGAGCCTGGAGGCAGGACGAATGGCGTAAACCCGGGAGCGAGAGGGCTTGCCAAGGTGAGCTGAGAATCGCGCACTGCAGCTCCACGCTGGACGATGGAGCAAGACTCCGTTAAAAAAAAAAAAAAAAAAAAAAAAAAAAAAAAAAGGGACACCGAGAGGCAGCTTGAAGAGCCTCCCTTGGCGCCAAATGCCGAGAAAGGAAAGTTAAAGATAAAAATAAATAATGAAACCTACAGATTATCAAGTATCAGATTCAAATCTATGAATCCACAGTGACATAAACTAAATAAATGGAGAGGAAACTCTTCCTTGCAGTAGTAGGAAGAACGGGATTTAAAGAGTCATCATCGGGCAACCATCACAGTGATCTAACTAGAAGATGAGTGGGATGAGGTACGAGATATTTATTTAGTCTCAAAGTATCTCTTCATAAAATACTTAGTTACAAAGGACAAAAAGTAACTTTTCTTTCCTTAAGAGATAAGGAACCTCAAACTCTTGGGCTCAAGCAATCATCCTGTCTCAGCCTCTGGAGCAGCTGGGACTATGGGCACCTGATACCAATCCTGGCTAATTTTCTATTTTTAATTTTTTTTGTTTAACTGGTTAAAGGCAGATGGGCATCTCAGGAAAAGGCCAGTAGGACCTTTTGTAGAGATGAGGTCTTGCTATGTTGCCCAGGCTGGTCTCAAATACCTGGCCTCAAGTGATCCTCTTGCTTCAGCTTCTGTTGGGACTATAGGCATGAGCCACTATCTAGTCAAAAGTAACTTTGTATACAGAAAAGCTGGCAAACATCATCTTGACCAAGTGATCAATGTTACCACCACCACCAATGGGACAGATGGACCCTATGTACTACATGAATCAGGATACATCACCACTCCGGGAGTTTCTCACCTAGGCAGTGAGCCCAGGGTCTGATCCTGAGGAAGCACTGGACAATCCCATATCATAAACATTCTACAAAATGACCGCCCTGTAATCTTCCAAAATGTCAAGGTCATGAAAACCAAGGGAAGAAGAATGTTCCAGATTGCAGAGACCAGAGAGATAGAATGCCTGGGTACAGTATTTGCTCCCAGATTGGACCTTCTGTAGTAAATAACACTGGGACAACCAGTTAAAGGCAGATGGGCATCTCAGGTAAAGGCCAGCAGGACCTTTCTGTGCTGTTTGTGTAGCTTTTCTATAAGCTTGAAATGGTTTCAAAATAAAATTTAAAAAACGTCTGAGACACTGCCTGGGAATTTCAGCGACTATACGTTTGATATTACCAACATTTACTCTTGTCTGCAAACTCAATGTAAGAGGCAGCAAAGTGAGGGACACAGTCCCCTCAGAGACAGCTCCAAAGAAAAAAACAAACCCCTTTAGTCATAAGAAGGAGTAAAACACTGACACATGCGACCACATGAGTGAACCTGGAAACAAGGAAACACTACACACAACAGACATGTTTATATGATCCCATTTATATGAAATACCTAGAATAGGTAAATCCATAGAGGGAATGTCCTGATGGTTGCCTGTTCTGGATATCAGTGGTTGCTGGGGACTGGCGGAGTAACTGCTAAAGAGTATGAGGGTCTCTTTTTGGGTTGAAGAAAATGTTCTGAAATTAGATAGTAGTGATGGTCATACAACTGTGTAAGTATCCTGAAACAACTGAACTGCATACTTCAACATGGTGAATTTTATGGCATATACATTTTATCTCAATTAAAAAAAAAATCCTGAGTGAGATGTTCTCAAAGCCAAGATACAAATGTTAGGGTCTAAATGAGAACTTAAGCTTCCTAGTTCCCAAAATATTGCCCAAACACTAAGTCACTCTAATTTCTACTGAAAGTAAAATATTGAAGGCCAAGTGTGGTGGCTCACGCCTGTGATCCCAGCACTTTGGGAGGCCGAGGTGAGCAGATCACCTGAGGTCAGGAATTAAAAAAAAAAAAAAAATTAGCTGGACATGGTGGCCAGTGCCTGTAATCCCAGCTACTCAGGAGGCTGAGGCAGGAAAATCGTTTGAACCCAGGAGGTGGAGGATGCAGTGAGCAGAGACTGCGCCACCGTACTCCAGCCTGGGCGACAAAGGGAGACTCCGTTTAAAAAAAAAAAAAAAAGTAAAATATTGGAGGATTTTCAACTACATTCTCAAAGTTCCTCTCCTAAATTGTATTCTCAAAAACAAAGCAAAACAAAACATCAACAAAAGGAAACAAAATCCCCACAGCCCCAGCTCTAGATATTATTTATATATCTAGGACAGAGTCTAAAAAACCGAGGGCCTAGGCTGGGCGTGGTGGCTCATGCCTGTAATCCCAGCACTTTGGGAGGCCGAGGCAGGAGGATCATGAGGTCAGGAGATCAAGACCACCCTGGCTAGCACAGTGAAATCCCGCCTCTACTAAAAATACAAAAAAA